AAATGAAAGGACCAATCACATAACGACACCCGAGTCTATTTTGCGTTACAGTATTGTGAAACGTGGCAATTCTCGTATAAATATCTTGCCCACAGCAATTAGTGTAAAAAAAATTCTGATACAATTTGTTAGAAATATCATCGTAAACGGTGCCACAATTATTATCTGGTGCATGCATAAACATAGTACCAGATGCTTCTATTATCACATACCGTGATTAATTTCACCGACTGGTTCATCCTTCATCAAAACAGTGCAAGTTAACGATCAAAACACACGTTTGTTAACGTTTAACCTATGAACTACCCGGTTATCCGTGGCAGTGCCGATGGTCTAGCTTTTTGCATCCGTAGTTTTATAATTTGTTGCATCTGTATAAAGTTGTTCAAGAAGTTAAATTGCGGTGTGTTTGATAATAAAAAATTATTTGGAATTTTTTTTAACTAATTAAATTTTCATACTTGTCAATATTTCGTTATCATCCACACTTTTTTTTTTCAAAAAAAAAAAAGAGCATCTTAAAATTGGATTGTCTGACTCAAATATTATTGTTCTTGTTATGTAGATATTTTTTTCTTCGTATATGAAGTGGAGCATTCTTTCATTTGTATAAAATTGGGATTTTGTGTGATGAAATTGAATGGGTTAATGGATTCCTGTGTGGAAAACTTGAGGTTTTATGTTTGTTTGGTTTTTTTCTTTTGAGTTGTTGTCTTTTAGTTTTCCAATGGTTATAAGTTTTTTAAAAAAAATTTGCACTTGCGCTTGAAATTAGGTTCATGATGCACATGTATTGATTTGTTGATGTTTTCTATTTTGATTTCCTCCTGTTATATTGTTTGTCAATAAGTTAATTTGTTTTTTTATATCTTGATATAAATGTTGGTTTTTTTGTCTTTTTGTGTCATGTATTTCTATCTATTATTTTTTTTCTACAAAACAATACTGTTTGATGAAACAAAACAAATCTAAGCTTAATATATGAAAATCTATGTTTTTTCAGCCAAATTCCAAAATAGCACCAACAATAGCGTTAGAACGTTCATGAAATTTTGACCAAAGCACACCATAAATAAAATATATATAGTATGTTACGGACCATGTTTGTCATTTTATATCTCAAAAGCATGATTATATAATTTAACCAAACATAATTTAGGTGTTTTCAACATTTATAAGTATAATACGCCAATTATCAAACACAATTTTTACCTCATAATACATCATCCAATAATACAACACAACACAGTAGTACCAAACAAGTCATAACTCAGAAAAACTAACTCAGAAAAGCAAGTAAAGCTGGTAATGATATAAGTATGAGACAAGTATGAGGTAAAAAGAGTGTTTTTTTTTTTTTTTTATAAGCATAATAAGACCAAACACATCATTAACACCATTTGTTTGCTTAAAAAACGATTTTATGCAGTAAAACTGGAGTTGTTAATTTGAGAGAATTAAAATTGAGATTAGCTCATCATTCATCAGCATCAATATTTTTTTAAAAAAAAAGATAGAGAAAATAAAAAATTAATAATAAAAATCAAGAGTTGTTCATCAAAGTCAATATTTAGGGAAAAAAAGAAGAGGATAAATGATAGAAAAAAAAAATGACGTGATGAACCTAAAATTGCAAGTACAATGGAATTATATTTGTAAAAACAAATTGCAGATGGGATGGGATCAGATGAACTTTTTCTCCGATAACTTGTCTTTAAAACATTTTATTTTAACCAAGTTTTCCATCTACTCATTCTGTTAATGCGGAGCAAATTGGTTTTTGAACATAACTTTTTGTAGATACACAACTGTATATTTCCCTTCCAATAACAAAGATAATATATTTGTTATGCTTGTGGATTTTCATTAATGTCATGAATTCCAAAAGACCGTTTTTATTATCCTTGTCCTCTTCTTTTCTTCTCAGACTATTGGCAATCACTTGTTTGCCACATTTAAATTCATCAATTCTAAAAATTGTTTTTTAATTTCTTCTGCTATGCTTCTGGATTTTATAATGCAAACTCATCAATTTTGAAAATTAGTTTTTGGTTTTGTGAAGTCTTTCTTTTTCTTCTTAATCGATTATAGTTTTTGCATCATACAAACTCATCAATTTTGAAATGCAATTTTTGGTTTACTTACAATAACTCGTTCGTAATATTTGGCTCCCATCCTCGCTTTATGGTTTTATGTTATTGATTTTAATTCACTCCAATGTCTCAAAGTAAAATGAATATATTCTAAAATATTTAAGTTGCATATAACTTAATTTTGATGTGATAATTTTTTTAAAATTTTTAATTCATGCATTATTACTCGATTCAAATTGGGTAAAATTTTAATGTGATGATATAAATTCGTGCAGTTAGCATGCTAACTTTATTTTAAAAATATGAAAGATAAAATCTAACCATATAGACTTAAAATTTAAATCCATTCAAAATAATTGCTACATATATTTTATAATAAGAGGTAAATATAGAAAAACATTTGATAGTTTTTTTTCCGTAAAAAAGAACATTGTTTCACCGAGCAATAAACAATCCGAGATTAATATATGAAAAATTCCGTATTTTCAGCCAGATCCCAGTATAAAAAACACCAACAATAGCGTTGTAACCTCAATCCAATCTCGACGAAAGCAAGGGGGACCGAGTGGTGTGGAGTTGTCGCTGTTGGTCTTAAACGGCGAGTACTGATGCGTGTTGGCTGAGAATTACCACATTCGAGTGGTGCGGATTCTCTTTTGCCTTTTAATATTTCGAAAGTGGCAATTATCATACAAAATATCCTGCCCACAGCATTTATTGCCAAAAAATCTGATAAATACTATTGATAGGTTGAATCACTGTACTCTTTTAATCCAATGAATGGGTAAACGGTGAAAGGAAGGATACTTCCATTATTACATGCTGTAGTTAATCTCATTAATTGATTCATCACACCGAGTAACGAAACATAATTTTTCTTTTGAACATTCTATTTCATGTCAGTCTTGTTGTATTTCTTGAGAACTACTTATGGTATCCGTCTCAAGGAAGTACCTTCCATTTAATGGCTCCACCTGTCCGGCAATTTTTGCCCCATTCTTAAAGGTTAACAGCTCTTCCCTTCAAAGATTCAAGCGGTGCTCTATTTAAAGCCCCAGTTTCTCAAACATGAGTTTTTTTCCCCTCAAAAGCCAAATAACGATTACCTTGACACTGGCTTCTAACAATGTAATAATAGTAATAATAAAATAAAACTAGCAACTTTCTTTTTCATAATAATAATAATAGTTATTGGACCTCAATTTTCAGTTAGATTTGGGTTCTTATTTTACTCAAAATTAAAGAATCGTGAATATTGGATTGGCTTCATGGACAGAACTGTATTTTTCTCTTTCCTTGGGAAGCCCAATCAATAATATATTAACATTTTAGTCTATTTCTTTTTGAAAATTTATGTTCCAAGTTTCATTTTTGTGATATTCCTTTTCTTAAAAATGGGGGACCAATAGAAAATTATTTAATCTATAGGGTGAAAAATGCAATTTCCCATTATAAGTTATTTGGCAACAGTAGGCAAAAGGGGGCTGATTAGAAGATCGACGGTGAAGATCAGATACCCCGCGCATTACAATTGTCAAGTGGCAAGACAAGTGATCATCTCGTAAAGTGGGTCCCATAAAAAATCTTGGATGTGGCCCACAACATCATCTTCGGATCTTTTTGAGCTGGAAAATGTCTGTTACTGATGGTTTGGTTTTTAATTCTGCAAGGCAGGTATCATACTGGAAGGCCACCATTCTAACGACAAAGGCTAGTAAGCATAAAGTATAAAAAAAATGCTAATTAACTAAATTTTTATTAAGAAGATTCCAAGTTGTAATTAAATAGCAGAATTATATATATTGTAGGAGTAATAATAATTATATAATTAATTTAATTTTTAATCAAATTCTAATTTGTTATTAATATTAATATTAATATTATTAAAAAAAAGAACCCATATATATTAAAAACTCTAAAAGAATAAAAGGTAAATACTTAAAGTTTATGAAAAAAATTGAGATTTAATTTATATATAGGCAGAGATAGTATCGAACCGTATTAAAATAAGCGTGGGATCTTCATTTGATTTTTGATCAATTTATATATAGGGGAAGGGATCTGGAATTGCTTGATGAACTTGGAAAGAACACGGAGAAAAGGAGAACCATGCTTTCCAAGTTTGTTCTTGTGATATTCTTCTTGTTCACATGCTTAGGGAAAATATGTCGTAAATTTTTAAAAATGAATAGGGGATCAAACGAAAAATTATTTAATCTATACGGTTGAAAATGCAGTTTACCATAAGAAGTAATCTGCAACTTCCGTCAAAGACAATGACTAAAATTAGGCAATCATTCGTGAAGATGGACGGTGAAGATCAGACTCCCCGTGCATTATAATCGTCGCGTGGCGGACATGTGATCAATAGGGTCATCTCCAAGGTGGGTCCCTTGTAAAAATCTTGTTTCTGGCCCACACATCACATCATCATCTGATCTTTTTTAGCGGGAAAATGTCTGCTATTGATGTTGTTGGACATCAATTTTTTGCTTTCAATTTTCCAAAGCTGGCATCAGATTAGAATGCCACATCACCACCGTCTTCATCCATCTCATGACTTTTGCATTTTTTCATCTATTAATTTTTTATTTATTTATAAGATTACATTTACTTAACAATTTTAGAGAAAATCTACTGGCATTTGTTTGAACATGAACCGAGACCATGGATTGTCTACCGCAAATTTCCAATCAAGGCTATTGCTTCGATTTCTTAGCATTCAGTTTGGAGATGACAATTTTATTTATTTATTTTAATTTGGGTGTGATTGTTGAGGAATGGCGCAGGAGTCCAATGCTATTTGTTTTTGTTCAAAGAAGGGAAACAAAAAAAAAACACTGCTGAATTTACTGGTTTTTTTTTTAGAAAAAAAGATAATTTCCTGGATTCGAGAAATTAGATAGAATGGAGGAAAAAGATTTGATTTGCGATATGAATACAGAAAATAAAAGACTCCAAGATGGAATGATGGTAAGGAATAGGAATGGATTTACGTTTAAATTTTACAACCGGGAAGATCACGAGGTATGGAATATATTTATTTATTTATTTTAATAATACTATATTATTGAGGAAAGACTGATTCGAGATAGACGTTTTGATTTCTTTTTTTTATGCGTATATAAATACTGATTTTCATTTATAAGTTAGTCACGAGTTCAATAAGTAAATTGGATTTGATATTCAATAAGTAAATGCTTTGGTTGCCTCGCTAGGCTCATATGGAAAACGAAACATGAAACAGAAAGACTAATCAGGTGAGCTGGCTTGGCATATTAATTACGAGAAACTGACCTTCAAGTATTAAGTTAATCACGAGTTCCTCGCATTTGGTGCATTTCGAGATGCTATTTGAAAGACCTATCTAACTAATCCTTTGTGCTATTTTCAAATCAACTTCAGTGTATTTGGCAATTTTTGACTATTACATCCTCTTTTTAAAAATTACATAACTAATCTTTTTTTCTTTTTGATGAATACCGTTTTGCATTAAGTCAAGAAACAATAATTATAAAGAGTAGTTCGGTAGTAGGAATTTTATGCTTTTAAGTAAAAGTTTCAAATTCAAATTTCACTTTCTACGTGTGTTTGTGTACACCAGAGGATTTAGATCTGCATTTTCAACTTCAATAGTACAGACCAATCTATTTCCACAAAAAACGATTGAGAGCAATCAGTTTTCGAGTTTTTTCCTTTTTTAAAAAAAAAACCTTAAAAAACCAACCAGAAGGTTGCCTGCAAAAAAATACATGTTAAATATATCGAATGAGGTTAAGATAAAAACTTTTTGATGAATATATAAAAATCTAATATAAACGATATATCTCAACCTATTAGAAAAATAATTAAATTCAAGGAGTGAAATTATATGCCCGAAAAAAGTTTTATTTATAAAAATATAGATCAAACTGAATAATATATATGCCTATGATCCAAAGAAAATTTCCAAACTTGTTTTGTGAGGTCTTTGATTATCATCCATAAAATTGAGGTTGTTGATTATTATATTTTATTTTAAATTAGTTATCATTTGGGATTCAGCAAACGGGAGTCACAATGATGGTAATGTACTTTTATGTTACTTGGATTAAATTATTGATCATATCAGGATTATTTGGGTGTACAAATTTTTAAACTTTTAACCCAGACATAAAATACATATAATTATTGAACCACTAAAATTTTTATTTGATATGATTTATTTTTTTATTTTTATTTTTTTACATGATTCGTTTCTTAGTAAATTATTCACTTATATACTATTAATTTTTTTAAATTACTATTATTTATTATTAGATTATTTTGAATAAAATTTATAAGTAATAATAAAAGTTTTATTATTCGTTGGATTTTAACAATGAACTAAGAATATTTATGATGAATTAAAGTAAAAAAAATTAACTCAAGACAAAGACTTTCTAATCTAACCACTTAAATATCATGTAAAATCACACACACATGTATATATGCAATCTTATTCGCAATTACCCAAGAAAAAACCCAACTGAGAACTCTTGAAGAATCAAAGTCACCAACGGAAGGTTTACTTGACAGGCTTGAAAGTAGTAAGAACTAGCTTCCTTAACTAACTACGAGGTTTTAATCTCATCTATGATTCTCCCGAAGGACATTCTCTTTCCCTTGAAAAGTCATCTCTTTCTCCGTCACAGACTTACACGTATCTCAAACCTCGTTGAGCGTGACTGCTAACTGGAAAGCCATGTTCCAACTCCGTAACCCCACCACAAAATGCAAACTTGTTTACTTGAAAAGGACCGACTCTTCCATTTCTTACAAGAGTGACATGTTAACTAGGCCACAAGTCCAACAAAATCGACGGAACAACCACATTGTTACTTATGCAGACGTGGATTTTTCACTAGTGGATTCTCTTGTTGGCAGGCAGGTGGTGTATGGGATTGGTAAGGACTTGGCACGTGGCAAGATGAGCTTTAATTTAACATCGGTTGCCATGGTTCAATGCAAGGTTGGACTGATTTGGTCGTGGCAATGATTGATCAAGTTTTCGTGCATTACGTGGAGGTTGAGCTCTCGGTTGTTGGTGAATCTGGGAACTTGATTGGTGGAGCTAAGGTATGCGAAGGGTTTTGGCATGATTAAATTCGAGTTTGTTGTATTTTATTTTTGCTCTTGATCTAATTAGACATTTGTCATTGGGATTCAAAAAATTGGAATTATTAGATAAAAAGATATCGTGTGTTTAGTTTATTACTGTGGGTTATTACCTTTTCTCAAAATAAAATAAAAAAATATATTCCATGGAGGCAGTAAGAAAACTGATATCAGATTTATCTAAGACTTCGATTGACTAAAAAAACGTTGAGATAGTGGCTGTTCGTTGCCAAACTTGGGCAGAGGATGGACTTAACTTTGACGCTTTCTTTGGGCCATGTTCGGCCTTTACTGGACTTTTGGCAGGGAATTGGCGATTGATTGGGTCTTGTAACAAAATTGGGCCTATTCAATGCACAGGAATAGCTTGCCCAACTTGCCGAATTGCCTGGCAATTTCAGTAATGGTTTGTTAATAATCATGTTGCCAAATCCCTGTTTATCATGGAAGTTAAATTGATAAAGATGGGATTCAAATCTGAGATTATTAGGGTGCAACAATACTATTGGGCAACCATCAAGCTAATTAAGTGATTTATAACAATATTATCGAACTAACTTTACGTATATTAAAACTAAATTCCTTCTTGATTGAATCTTAATTATCACATTTTTATTGGTGCATCCTCAAAAAACAAGTACTATCCCATAATTTTTTATTGATAAATATAAACTTTCAGTATAGAATTCGGTTAAAAAATATTATCATTCCATTTCTCACAATTTTTTTTAAAATTTTTATAATCATGCATTTTGACATAAGAAAAAACAGGATTGATTGAGTTGCTGCAAGTCTGCAACTGCTGTCATGTGGTTCCTTACCAACTTCTGTAGAATGTAGAGTATGCACTTTGGACACTTTCCTGGGGCCGTGCTTGGATCGTGTGCCTGGACTTTCTGGCCTGCAAATAACATTGGTAATTGGGCCGGATACAGACTTGAGCCTATTCAGTGCAAAGGAATAACTTGCCCAGCTTTCCAAATTGCCATGCAATTTCAATATGCTTGTTAATAATCATGTCCCCGAAGGGCCCAATAATTTTGTTTTCATTTTTCTTTTCCTAGATTTTTTTATTCGTCTTCCAATTTTTATGAAAATTAAATTCACGCATGTGGTACTCGGACCTGAAATACTTATCGGGGCAAGAGTATTATCGGCTACTATCAAACTAAGTAATTTTTTTTTCCCGTTTATTGGCATGAATATTAATAGATTAGCTTTTGTATATACTCAAATCAAATCTTTTTTTGATCGGGTAAGTATTTTATTTGGACTAGTGTATTCGTAAAAAGAAAAAATGCTTACCCTCTTAAATGATATAACCACACGGTGTTTTTCATTACTAGAAACGAGTATCCAATCGAGTAAATAAATTTTTAGCATTAGGTACATAAACTTTCAGTATTCCGTTCCCCCCCACCCCCCCCCCCCCACCCCCCCCCCCCCCAAAAAAAAAAAATTTCATTAAAGTACAATTTAGGAAGGTTTCTAAATCTAGATCTGAAACCTTCTAAGGTATATAAATTTGTCTGTATATATAAAATAAAATGCATAACACAGAAAACATCCAATGAAAATTGTACAGTTTATATCTAAAAAAAAAAATACTCTTTAAGTTCTAAAAAAATTATTTTCTTTCTCTTTATATCTATCTCAAAATATTTATATGGTCAAAATTTTTAATATTGTATTTTTTAAAAATACTCCTATCTTGTAATGCAAGATTGAATTAGATAGATTTTCTCAAAAAAAAAAAAAAAAAACTATTGTTAAAAATGGATTGTCACTTAGAGATACAACAAGTAACTATTTTACAAGTAGAGAGAGACACTTGACAAACTTTCTTTTTCTGGAAATTTATTAGTATTTTTGCTATCTTAATTTTTCACTCAATACTCATTTTTTGCTGAAAGATCTGAAAACTGTATAATTAGCAATCTATGAAAAAAATTTATTGAAATATTAAAACCTATATAAGCTAATTAAAATACAATAAAACAAGAAAAAAAAACTTTATATATATATATAAAGCAAATAATTTGAGATTATTGAGAAAAAAAAAGAAAAAAAATTGAAGAATGATAGCTGCAGCCGGTGAAATCATGGTGGACAACTCGTACAAAAACCCTAAAAAAGACGAGAGAAAAGTTCAATAAACATTCAGCATTCAATAAAGGAAAATTCAGAAAATATTATTATTCTATTCATCATTCTACTTACATTCTCGCAGATTAAAAAATAATAATAATGGAAGAAGTCACCATGAACGTCACTTGTAAGAGCTCTTTAAATAATTATTTGGCATGACATTTAAATGCCAAGAAAATAATACAAAATAAATAACATCAATTCGTAACTTCTGCTGTTCCATCAACATTAGATTCGTAACATGAATCACTAATAGTACGGGAGACGCTGCTTACCATGATTGATGTTGACTTAGGTGAGAATTTTTTTTATTTTTTTTAGTAATAAGAATGTTTTTTTTTAATTAATTTTTATGCATATCAAAACTAATTTTTTTTTAAACATGATAAAATGTATTTTTCAGTAAATAATTTTACATATTTTGAAAATAAAATTTTTAAAATATTAATTATAAAAATCAAATTTTATATTTAATTTATAAATGGACGTTTACTTATGAACTGCAATCACCTCGCGGTTAATTATGACAATGCTAGTTGCGTGTGCTTTTTCTATTCCATTAAAACTTGGTTAATTTGAAATAAAAAGCGGTGTGAAAAGTACAACATCATTAATAGGACATTATGATAGGCCAAAGATAGAGGTAATTGCAAGGATAAAAACTGCTACATATGGTACAGATGATGATGAGTTGGGTGCCGGAAAATGATTCGAGTTTGTTGTGCTTGTGGCCCATGACGTCAATTCTCATCTTAATTTGTACCCTAGTTTTTTCTTCACTTTCTTGAACCTTTATAGAGGTTGTCATTGAGACTTGGGTCTATATTTGATTATGCCTGTACTCTTGGGAACCCAGAAATCACTGCCTGCCTGCCAAATTGACTGAAGGGTAAATTTATTTATTTATTTTTATATAATATTTAAAAATTTGCATCTTGTAAATTACATTCTTTCTTAATTTGAAATTTTTTAAAATACTTAATTTGTATTTTTGATCAAAATAATATTTACTAAAATGCAAAAAAAAAAAAAAACTTATCCCTTGCATGTTTTATTTTTGAAGTTTTTAATTTTTTTTTTTACATTTCAATCAAAAACATTTCTGTTAAAATTTTATTGCTAAAAAAAATTAATAAAAAAATAGAGTGAATAGTTAAAAAATTTTAAAAAATGTACAAGTTACAATTGAAAATTTAAGAGCATATATAAAATTTTGGATATTATACGATAAGAAATAGATATATTTACCCCTTTAGAATTTAGAAATTGCAACTAAAAAATATTTAATTTGTATTTTTGATCAATTTTTTTGATTGAAATACTATGTAATAAAATGAAAAAAAATAAAAAATGAAAACTATGTTTTATTTTTTAAGGTTTTATTTTTATTTTTAATTAATTTCAATAAAAAACCCTTGTTTTTTATTCGAGTTTGTTGTGCTTGTGGCCCATAACGTCAATTCTCATCTTAATTTGTACCCTAGTTTTTTCTTTTCCCTTTCTTGAACCTTTATACAGGTTGTCATTGAGACTTGGATCTATATTTGATTATGCCTGCACCCTTGGGAACCCAGAAATCACTGCCTGCCTGCCGAATTGATTGAAGGGTAAATTTATTTATTTATTTTTATATAATATTTAAAAATTTGCATCTTGTAAATTACATTCTTTCTTAATTTGAAATTCTTTAAAATACTTAATTTGTATTTTTGATTAAAATACTATTTACTAAAATGCAAAAAAAAAAAAAAAAACTTAAAAATCATATGCCTTGCATGTTTTATTTTTGAAGTTTTTAATTTTTTTTTTTTTTTTTACATTTCAATCCAAAACATTTCCGTTAAAATTTTATTGCTAAAACAATTAATAAAAACAAACAGAATGAATAGTTAAATTTTTTTAAAAAATATACGAGATACAATTGAAAAGTTAAGAGCATATATAAAAATTTGGATATTATACGTTAAGAAATAGATATATTTACCCCTTTAGAATTTAGAAATTGCAACTAAAAAATATTTAATTTGTATTTTTATCAATTTTTTGATCGAAATACTATTTACTAAAATGCGTAAAAAAAAAAAAAACTTAAAATCATATGCCTTGCATGTTTTATTTTTAAAGTTTTTAATTTTTTTTTTAACATTTCAATCAAAAGCATTTCCGTCAAAATTTTATAGCTAAAAAAATTAATAGAAAAAAAATTGAATAGTTAAATTTTTTTCAAAAATAAACAAAATACAATTGAAAAGTAAAGAAGTATAAAATTTTGAATATTGTAAAATGAGAAATAGATATATTTACCCTTTTAGAATTTAAAAATTGCAACTTACATTAATTATGGCATTGCTAGTTAAAGCAGATATCTTACCCTCTGATATTCTGTTACCCATCATAAATGCTAATACCAAAAAGCATTTACATTTATCTTAATAACATTTCCAAATAACTTCACGTTAATTATAGATAGAATTTAGCAAAAAAATGCTAATTATGCATCATATTATATATATGTATGATATAATTCTGTCTATTCATTCAAAATATATCATGGGATTAATCAAATCACGCTGACAATTGTTCAAAAGATTGTTCTTCAACGAATACTTTGTATACGGAAGACCTGAACTTGCTAGAGCGTCATGTTAGCTGAAGGTAATTGTCTTCGTCAAGATTGTGGTGTCACATCTTCTTTATGCTCTTTAACTATCATGTTTTTGGTTCTTGTCTTCTCTGAACGTTTTATCTGTATGTTTCGTTTCCATGGCGTTTGCCCTTTTCTTTTGGCACCTTCTAATTGAGTCAAAAAGAGTTCATGCTATTACTACTTCATGTTATATCCGACAAGTATCGACTACCCATAAAATCCCACTCAAGCTCACTTGCTCGGCCAAACAGATCTAACCCAAGCTTGATTCCAGGACTACTTCCCAAACAATCAATAACGGAGTCCTAAAATGCTCAATAGAGAATGTTGAATCTCAATGTTTTCACTTCAACTTTGCAGCAAGAGTACCACATGTTAAACAAAATAAGTGTCGGAGAAAATCGACTAACAATCAGTCTATTCATATCAAAAACCATCTCAATCTAAAACTTAATTTTTTAAATGAGGTTAGTTTTATATTATTCTCTAATACATATTTTCAAATAAAAACTTTTTAGGTTTACGTTACCTTGTACTTAATTAGAAGAAAAAATAAGCTTTTTGGACTTAAAATTTATACTCGATTTACGTTACTTTTTACTTAATTAGAAGAAAAAATAAAAATAGTAAGATTAGAACTCGTAACTATTGGTTATCAAAGTTCTAATACCTTTTTAAAAAGCATTTTAACTCAAAAGATTAAACTTTTAGATAAAGTTTTGAAAATGATTTTATATTACTTTAGAGCTAGGTAGATTTGATTCTAAAAATTTTCTTGACAAGCTTTTGCTTGAACTCAAGCTAGCTATTAAATCTTACATTTTTCTTTATACAAATTCAAATCTATTAAATTAATCATGAACTCACTCATGTCACATTGTTTTAGTGGAAGTAAAAGTGTTAAGCTTGGCAAATCATAATAACACTAATATGTGCCTTTTCACCTTTCCATGTTAAAAGAGATCAGATAAAAAAACAAAGCTCTTGTCGTCAAATTAATTAGCACCCATATGACACCCAGAGTATTATTACAAATTAGAACATCAACTTACATTAGTGCCAAAAATCTAAAAGATAAAGGTAGAAAAGTTACAACAAGAAAAAAGCACATCTGGTTGGAGTTATTAAATAAAAGTAAGATGCCAGTACATAATTTATCTAATCCCTAATCATAATCATTTGGCTCTGTCCCTGATCAAATCGAATCCCATCTCGGTTGGGTCGGTTGCTTGGAGTTCATAGTGGATGCCTTCAAGCACTCTCCTTAACCCATCTTTGGAAGTTGCATAAAGCATTTTTGCTCTAATTCTTGATGCTGTCGGAGCCCTGAAAATTAATCCAGAATTAACAAGATTCGTCAGCAACCCATTACTTGTTATGTGAATAAAAATCAAAATCAAAATAAAACATAGTACAATAATTTGTATGATTACATATATTATGCTTCCAAAATGACCAACCTTTTTGTCTACATCTGAAACCCAAGTCTCCATCGACACCATACCTAATTTTAATTGTCTAAAAAAATGTGGAAGAGACATTTATCAGAGCCACTTGCTTCTAAAACTCTATTAAGTTCCTACTGATCAATCATAACCAAATAATTGCCCCTCCCTAGCATGATTGCCAACATTGACTTACCACATTTTATTTCTTGCAAATTTTTGTTAATTTCTTAACATGGTAAGGAAAAGTTTAGATCCAATCCTTGCTTCTTCTTTTTTTCCTTAATAATTAGATATGTGAAAAGTTAATGGATAAAAAACGGAGTTTAGAAAAGAAGGGGACGGACCAGGCAATGAAGAAGATCTTGCTCTTGCGGCAATTATCAACAGTGACAAAATCAAAATCAAAGACAGCATATCTGCAATCATCATCTGGTAAGGAAGCAGCAAGATCATCATAGCTCTCACCAGGGCCACCGACCTTGTCCACAGTGACCAACCTCGACTTCTCATCAATCTTGAACACTATGTACCTATGAACTTTCTTCCATTTCATTTCATGGAATGAATTCTTGCATTCATCAGTCACCCACATGCCTGTTGTCGCCTGTCATTACCATAAGTACAAAACAAAACACACAAATATATATATGTTAGAAACATTAACATCTTATTTATGGTAAGGAAGATAAGACAGAGAAGAAGATGCTGCTGTACCATCTTGAAAGCCATTGCCATTGTTGTTGAATTGTAGGGGAGAGTGTGAGTATTGTTTTCTTTGCAAAACAAACTGCTAGTGGTTTGGGTTTCAGCCTGGGGCTCTTGGTCTTTATATAAAGATGTTGCTTTTGGATTGCCACTAGCGTTAGTAAATATTACAACTTTGTCCATATACTAGATCTGTATGTTACGCAATGACCAAGTTATCCTCAATTTATTTTTTGATGATTTTTTTTTTTTTTTTTTTTTTTTGAACAATTATTATCATTTTAACAAATATTATTTCTTCTTGTTTGGATCAGGATTCTTCTCAACGTACTCTATCAATAGGAGATGCATTGTTAAAATCGTTTTAAAAAATTTAATCTCGATTCATACATAAATTAATTCAAAAATATTCCATACTGTTAAATAAAAAAATGTTTTTCAATTTAAAATTTAATTTTTATTATATAGTAGAAAAAAATAAAAAATGAGTAATGGTAAAGAGACTTATAATTTCCTTTGTGAAACAAAGGTTAGGTCCACTAGACTTTCTTGTAATTTCATTCGTGAAACTAAAAGGTTTGGTCCACTAGTAGTTCAATTTTCAGGTTTTATCCAAGTGTTTAAGGTCCCCTTTGCTCCTCTGTTATTTTTTAATTCACCCATTATGGTAATGCCAACATAACATCGGAAAACAATTGGCTTAATTATTACGCCCTTCTGTTTTCTGGAATCTAATCTAGTCCACTGTTTTTATGGTAATTTTATTTGGGACAAATCAGCCCATTTGTCAAAATGATCTTGAATTTGTCAGATAATTTGAATTTAATCAGTTCTATCATTGCCACTTAACAATCTTGACCAGCTGATTAGGAAATAAAATTTCAAAAATTTTACCCAACTTCTTTTATTTTAATACAATATAGAACCTCTTTTCAGGGGGAAAAAAAAGTACAACATAATACTATTACAATTCGTTATAAAAAATCCGACAAACATCCACAGATTTTTTTTCATTTTTATATGTTGAAAATCTATTGCTATATACAATTAGTGACAATATGGATTCTGTTATTAATATGATGGCTTAGCGATTGAAATTTTTTTTCGTTGTTGATTAACGATGGATTTTTTGTTATTAATTTGTTGAATTTCTGTTGCTAAATATTTAGTCCTCGTCTTGCTCCCAGCACTGTAATCAAGTCCCATGTTTACCTTATATAAACAGATGGACCGTGCAATTAGAAATGTGTAGCTAGTTTAATAAAGCATGATATTTCTAGCTAAAACTATTTTTTTTAAGGTTTCCATTTATATATCTATAATAATAATAATAATAATAATTGCTCTATGAAAAATGAAAATGAAGGATAAGGTTTTAGATTACATAATGGTAAAATAATGGGGAAAAAAAGGACCCATGCTAATGCGTGGGCTCCTCGACTAATATGGAAAGAGAGAATAGTATTACATTGATGAAGCCTACATTTCTTGCATTATTGTGAAAAAAAGATAATCTATATTACATCAATTGGGTAATCAAATAATTGGTTCGTAATAAAACTCATTTGTAGATCTCATATTCCATATTAATATAAATGGCCATAACTTATCATATTACATAGATTGAATAGTCAAATAAATAATTGTTTTTTTAAAAACATGCTACTAGATTTCATATTAGTTTTTCTTACATTTAGATTATATATTTTTCAAGTTTTTTTCTTAATTGAGACCTTTTATTTTTTAAGATTTCTTACTTTAGACTCTTTATTATAATGCCACCAATCAATAGATTTTTTATTATATAATGTCACATGTCGATTATTGATTGGTAGTACTATAATAAAGCGTTTAAAATAAAAAATCTTGAAAAATAAAGAGTTTTAATTAAGTAAAAAAAAATGGAGGAATATAAGGTCTAAATGTAGAAAAACCCCATTTGACATTAATATGAAAAAAAATATATATATATGACCCGATGGAATAAAGAAATAATTGCTTCGCAATGAAATCCTATTATAGATTTCAAGCTAATTTGAAAAAAAAAATTATATTTCATTGATCCAACAACCAAATAATTGCTCTATGCAAAATTCATTTGTATTTCTTGAATCAATGTGAAGATTGAAAAGGGAGAAGTTACATATTACATCAATGGGAGATCAAATACTTTATGAAACTCGTTTATAGATCCCATTAATGTACGTCAAAAGGCATAACATTTTATTTAGGTAATCGAATAGTAACTTTTTTGTTTTCTTATGCAAAAAAGGTAACTTTTTTTTTTTTTTAACCATCATTGGTTTGCTAGAAAATTGAAGTAGCAAAGCTACAACTAATTGACTAGGTGCATTGTCCCCCAACTTGCTCAGTCACAGAACAACTTCCAAGCTACATAACTAAACATTATTTTTTTACTACCATATGAACATAACCTATGCAAAGAATACGGTGGTCCCAATCTCGGATCACACAACCACATCCCCATCTCTCTATCTTCGTGTTCCTCAAAATCAAGACTTTGCGTGAAAGCAAAGGAGCAAAGAGGATAGAGGAGAAGAACTATAGAAAAGTTTGTCAAAACTAAAAAGTAAAAGCTTCTTGGTAAAAATGAAATCATTGGTCCTTGGGGATTTTTAGCTCGAGTAGTAAACATGTATACTTCCCATATTATCATCTGGACTTAGTATCTAATATCCTAACAAGTGAGTCTGAGGTCTGTCTAGACATGAATGCATGGTCCGCTTAAGATTTTGAACTGAGAGAAATTTAGTTATAGTAATTGAAAACAGTCTAACCATTTGCATGCACCACCAATCAACCTTTATGGGTTCAGGTTTTTATACTCATTATTATAAATTTCGGTGTGTGCAACTTGAAGATTTCATCTCTCCAAGATTGAGTTTTTCCACAAACTTGTCTAGCAAAAGCGTGGTAGAAGATATGAACAACATTCCAACAAATCCTCCCATATAATACTATTACTTATACTTATCCAATATTCCTCACAAAGATGACTAGTTTGGCATTAGATAGAGTACAAACACTAAAATCTTCCAAAACCGCAAGCAAAAGAAGAAACAGACGTGCCAAGGGAGACATGTCCTTCATGTTGAGGGCCCTCTTTTGTGGACATTAGGGACCCTACATGTGTCCCACAACAAATGTCCATGAGTTATTTGTTCATATTATTACAACTTACAAGTGTCATGGCATCGCAAAATATGGCGAGAGCATAGTGTGGTTGTGAAATGGTTACTACCTCTTTCAACCCCACGAATCCCTCACTTAGTTCCTGGCTTCTTCTTAATGGAACTACTCAATTTGGTGGCGCACCTTAATCCTTTGAGTGGTTAGGCATCTGGGTGCACCATTCGCAGCTACTCTTGAAAAAGTTGATGGCCCAGCCTAGTGAACTAGAAGTGCTTTCAAGCAATGGTAGGATTCATGAAGCATAAGACTACTGCCCCAAGCTAGATATTAGCATGTATTTAATGTAACATGCAAGGCCGTTTAAACATTAATACCTGCTGGAAAATGTAGGGGAGAATAGGTACTTGATCCTTAATTGAATGATTTGTATAGCTAAGTTAATTAACTTATTAGATATCTCAAATAATTGAAGCTAAAGTCCCATACCGCCAGCTTCTAATTTCTACATCCAGAACAAGCCTTATTGTCTATCTCGTTTGTCTTTGGTAGTAATCACTAATGGCTCGTATCCTAGATGAGCTTGTACTAGTAAAAAATTAAACTACTAGTTTCAGTAGAGGCTTAAAGCCAATAAAAGTTTTGCCTTCAGCCTTTACTTACAGTGGATTGGCCTCTTCATATATAATTTCTGAACAGGGCACGCTGGCTTGAGCTACCGTTTACCCTCTGTCAAAGACCGATCTGATCCTGACAGACTCGCCAGACTATTACCCGGCTGGTGGCATAATCTCACATAGAATCAGGATTTTGGGAGGGAAACGAAAAGGCAGAATACAGGTCAATGTGACATCAATGAAATTGAAAGACAGCAACTTCAATTTTAACTAACATTGAGCCCTTGTCTCCTTCCCAACGCAGCAACCATAAAGTGAGCCACAGTACAAGACATCAATTCCATTGCATAACGTTAACAAGCATAATGACAGCAATCCTAACATCCTACTGCAATATTCAGCCTCGTCAAGTGAAAATCATTATAATTGGAAAACGAGAAGTAAACTCAAAATGGATTTCTATCAAGTCTGCTTTTCTATTCATTCTCCTCGGCGCAATGCGGTTTGTGTCACCAGCATAGAAGCTTTCTTTCATGAAGACTTATTAAGAGCATTTCACTTGTCATCACTTGGTGGCTTATCTTCATTCTTCTTTTGTCCGGACTGGTAATAACAACTAAAAAATTCAGTATGCATGCATTGCAAATGTTTGACACAATGAACAAACTAAATATAAAGCACAACTCAATTGAAATGCAGGTTACATTGTATGAATTTCAGGAACCCACCTCAGATTGGCTTTGCAAAGATGCTAGCAGCTCCTTCACTGAGGGATCGTTAGGGTCGACTCCTGGAAGCTGTTAAAGAGGAATAAAATGTCAGAAAGAAAACAGCATGTGCTGAATGTGATTCATCAAGGAGTTCTTTATAGGCAGGTTCAAATTATACTTACTGATGCAAGGACAGATGACACAAAAGACTGATCCTCCAATGCCTTGCTCATATCTGACTGACTTGATGAATTGTTTGCCGCTTCCTGAATGGACATCTGAAGAGCTGCATGCAAGTGGATCAATGCAGATTCACCAATTAAATTTTAAAATCATGGCTAATAAAAACAAATTTGACAAGTGTTTAAAGCTTTGGCAAACAGCATTGCAAGGTCTAAAAAAGTGTTTAATGTCAATTTCATAGTAACTTGGGCAAAGATGATATGCATTTACCAAGAAATCAGGAACTACTGAAAGAAAAATCGATGAACATTGCATATTATTTGGGTGCATCGAAACTTGCTAGTTGATTCCACATTCAATTGCATGTAAATCCCATAAGTATTGGCTTTTTAACAATGCATTCTCCTTCCTGATTTCTCTTATCCTCGATACAAGTACAAAGAAATATTAAAATAAGGTAAAAAACAATGTAAGCATATCATGCGAGAATCAATTGGAATTCAAATCTAGATTTGAGCTCCCATCCAAGTGTTCATGTAGCAATTAAGATATAGGAGCACTTTTCTATATATGAATTTAGAGAAGCCATAAGCAGAGAGAAGTTTGAAGTACTAGCAGGCCTTTTGCATTGAACAGAACCTACCCTTTGCCAAATCCTGATCATCATTAGGTGCTTCTGCCATTTCAGAATCACGGACAGAGGAATCAGATCCAGGGTTTTCCATTGATAGTGCAATAGCCTGCTGAAGCAATGCATTCACTTCATCCTATCACCACACAGGTTGTTGTCAAAGCGAAATCAAGAAACCAGAAAGATGCACCCAAACGGAAAGCATAAAGCAAGCTTTGTCCAACAGAAGTATTGACACACAAACAAAAAAAGGTATGAGTCAAAATGAAACCAACCATCGGATCAGCAGTATTGTTAGTTGCTTCAGCAGCCTTGTCAGTCATTGTTGCATCCTGTGAATTGGATGATGGTTCTTCTCCTTTTTCTTGTCTAGCAGCTTCATCAGCAGCCCTTTTAGCAGCAGCTTCTTGCCTAGCTCTCTCCTCTTCCATAGAAACCCTAAGAGCAAGAGCCAGCTCTGGATCTAAATTAGGATCTACACCAAAATCAAAGTCGCCGCCACCAGCAGCAGCTGCTGCAGCAAAGCCACTTCCTCCTCCTTCCCCGTCTCCAGTGAATACAGGTGTGCTGCCAAAGTAATAAAAAATCAAACCACTTGAACTACATCATGAATGAAGCAAAATATTATTGATTGGTCCAATGTCTTGCATTTCATTATGAGACAAGAAATATATGATCTAATCATATACAAGTCAGTTGCTAATTATCACAAGAAAACAAATTGTGAGCAGCTCTTCAATTACATGTGAATTACTTCAGCTCTCCAAAACAAATCCACAATTACAAGAGATATAATCTTCATTGTAACATATATAGCCCTTTCAAATCAGAATATTCCAAACCATTTTCTTAGAGAAATAATCATTAATATGCACACTAATAACTGTAGCCTCACCTAATGAAACTAAGGAAGTTAAAGTATCACACCTCATAAGCGCATCAGAAATAGCACTTCCACCAGGAGGAATGTGAACTATATGGCTATTGTCATTACTATTGACAGCAGCAAAGAGGGCCTCCAACTTCTCCGGCTTCCCATCCTCTTCTTCACCAAAATCAACAATATCTAGAGATACATTGTTCTTTTTTAATTTCTTCCCTATCGTCTCCAACATCTTCTTGTCATATGTGATAGGACTGGAAAAACATTTAGCAAATAAGACAAACTTACATCATAAACAAAAAAGAATAAACTAGTCACGAACCAACAAACAAGCTTACCTTCCAGCGAAAACTATTATTCTTTGCTGCTGATTTTTGTTTTGACGATGCTTAAGAGCCAGTTGTGCAACCTGGATTCCCGCTGATAGATTCATCTCACCACCAACTTCAAGACCTATATAAAAATGAAATTGAACAGAGAGACTTTAACATTGAATAATAGGGGGAAAATGCAAGAGATCGCTTGTGAATTTAACTAAAAACTTATTACCAAGTTCTTGGTAGAGTTGGTTTAAGTTATTTTTCAGATTGCATTGTAATGCTCATATAAAAGAAGCTTTGCTATTCTTTTTCTCCTATACACAGTTCTACGTGGTGGAATCTATCACATTAGGTATAATAAACTTTTTCCATCACAGTACATAAAAATCTGAATTAGATCATCTCCAATAACTATAAAACACTCAAAATTATCAAAACAAAACAAAACAAAGCCCAATTATAAAAGTAGTGATCCTTTTCATTCACATTACATAAAAGATTCAAACTTGATAATACCCAATAACCATGACGGAGTCTAAATTATCAAAAACAAAACAAAACCCACCAATAATTCAAGCTCAAAAACAAAACCAATGAAGAAGAAGAAGAAGAAATGGCGTGGATAAAATAAACGCACCGTGCATACAAGACAAAATCTTGCCAAGATCACTAGTAAGAGTACTCAAAACCCGAACTTGTTTGCCTGCCATTGTTAATATCCCCACTGTATTCTCTGGATTCGACTTCAATTACCCAAAAAAACCTCAAAAAATCAAAACCAGATTTATTAAACAAAAAAAAAATGAAATCCAAAAAAAAAATTGTTAAATCACTTGGGTTTTAGCGCCGCATAAGAGATTAACAGCATCGGCTTGAGCTTGAAAACGAGAAGGAGAGTAATCGCCGTTTCGCATCCATTCTGAGTTGTCAATGCATATCATGGTCGCCTAAACATCGAAAAGAACAAAAAAATTACTCTTTTTGCCATGTTAAACAAGATTATTACAAGATTAACAATTAATGAGTTTTTTTAGGGCTTCAATCAATTCCTTACCTCGAGAACCATTGTTGTTATTACTCTGTGCTGTGCTTGCGCGAGAAGAAAAACAATAAGAAAGAGCTTTTCTTTTCCTCGATGTTTTCTCTCTTCTTTTCTCTTGCTTGCCCAAAAGAGTTTGCTGGGTGCTCTAAATAAAGTTCTTGTTTTTTCACTTATTTGCCCTGAAGCCTTTGAAAGAGAAGATGGACCGGAGAGTGGGCCCATGGCCCAATTTTAAACAAAATGGGTTGAAACTCAAAACTTTTAGTTATATTGAAGCCCATTTTTAAAGGTCCAAGAGTCAAGATATTACTACTAGCTAGTTTTGTTACGGAAAGCTAGCCTTTGACCGAATCGGACAAATGATTGGTTCAAGCGTGTAGCAACCGATTTTAGGAATGAGGATACCGTGTTGTTGCAAAACCCAATAAATAAATAATGCAGAAGAAATTCTAATTTCAATTGAGAAGGAAAATGAAAAACAAGAAAGAGACAAATAAAAATAGAATTTACAGTTTTTGAGGTGAAAATTTTCCCTTTTTTCTAATAGGTGAAATTTAACTTCAATTCTTCAATTAAAAGCAAAAAGACTCTTGTTATCTATTGAACTTATCATAGGAAAACTTGAATTGCTTTTTTCAAAAGAATATTCATGCTCGGACCGCCTACTTTTGTAGTGGGATCCTAGTAGATGATTTGAACTTGTTCGGACAAAGTTTAGATGTTAGCCAACATGCTAGGCGGGATGGAGAAGACATATTTTAACCTGAGAATTCGTACCATTCTCTTTTCTGTATAGTTCTAGAATAACTTGCGTATGAGGACAACCATGGTGGATTTAGGAAAACTCCCACCAATTTATCCTGAATAAATAACTTGGTCTTCTTTTTCTTTTTTGTTTCCTGACTTGCTTTATTGTACCATAGAAGCCAAAACAGAAAAACCCCAGGTTTCTTTTGCTAATTAAAGGAACCATGCATGATTGTTAGAACAAACATAAGAACAGACAGAAGCATCTTACAAATGCAAGATACAAATTCACAGTTGAAACAATAGCTACCGATAGCCTTCCACACCACTAGATCCGTGAATGCAATCTGAAAGCATAGGAGAGAACGCTTCTCAAGAGTTTACGCCCCATTTGAAATGAAACATATCACTAAAACATGCTCGAGTAACCACATTAATACTATGTCATAAAAACAAAATCCTGCTCTTTATTTAACAAAGTTCATAACCAATGGAACTTATGCACAATCTGCCAACTGGCAGTTATAACATCCTACAGACCACAAATGACAGACCGACAATGATACAAGATTAGACAGGGATATTTTGATTATGCAACAGGAGCAATGGGAGCAATAGGTGATCTATGATTTCTACTGACAGGTAGGTGAACATAAACCCCATGAACCTCTGGTTTGTAAACTTCCCCTCTATCCTTATCTATGGCATAGCATATATAAACAGTCTCGATCACATTGTCCAGCAGGTGAACAAAGAAACCCAGCACGATAATCAGTAACACCCATGCAAGAACAGCTACAACATATGAGTAAACCCCAATATTGCTTGCACCTTTCAGGATAACGCAGACCTGTTTACAAATACATAATTAGGAAAAATAATTGCATCAGACTGTTAGATCAGATCATCATCTTAAAAAAAAAAAAATATCAACCTTTTCTTTCTTTTGGAACCAAAACAAAGATAACATCAACGTGCAAGCTTTACCCACTCATAGTAAATCGCTATCAACTAGGAACTCTGGAATACAAAAGGAGCAAAAAGTTAGAATATATACTCACCACAATTGCATATATTGCTGAGAGTACGAATGTAATTCCAGCCAACAAGCGAGTGGAGACGGTTTCAACAAAAACAGGAGAGAGCAGATTACGTTTTAACAGCTCATATGTCATCCTGGCAGAAGTGCAGTAGGCTTCACCGGTTATTGCTGCGAAGTTGATTGTGAACTTGTTAAGAAAATCTACTGCTGAAAGTAATGCCTTGACACAACACCGCAAGATAAGGTTCACCATCCCAGGAACATCCTCTTGTCTAGCGCTATCGACAGCAGCACGCACAAAGCGAACAACACAAATAAGCAATCCAGATAAACATACAGTGCCAGATGAGGGACCAAAGGCATTTCTGCAAAATTTTAAAACACAAAGATCAAAAGGATAATCATGTCATGGTGATGATCATCAATCTCTAACAAGCTTTCTCTCTGAGCAGGTAAGGAAATGTGCCCTGAGATAGTGATATTGAGGACAATAAGAGGACATTGGGAACAATTAGGGAGATTGCTTGCAATGCGAAATCTTTATCTAGTTGGAGGTACAGACACAATTTAGATGTGTCTGAACTCCGCCCACCAGGAGAAGAGCTTCAAGTTTTCCTAATAGCTAGGAGCAGGATCAAGAAATCCAAGTCCTTGAAATCATTGACAACCACCACTAACAGGTGCCTGGCTCAATAAGAACTTATAAGAGGACTATTCAAAATGAGAATAATTTCAAAAAACTATAACCTATAAGCATGTCGCTGAGTCTAACCATTCGAAACACAAACCACATTCCAAAAATACATGCAATGTTCATATATTAAGCGAAACAAAGAAATAGTAGCAATAGATCACCTCAAAGAACTTCTTATACTCCTTCTAGGTTTCGCATCGTCCTTTGTGAAGTACCACTGGGCAACAGTTCCACTTATAACATAAACCTGGGCTTCAATCATGACAGTCAAAGACCACAGCATTGTAAGAATTGCCAATGTGTAGTACGCTGGCACCCAACTATCTTGCTTCCAAACACACCTATATTCTCCATTTGATTCCTTAGGCACAATTTTCCCATTCAATCTCGCAAACACTAAAAATACCACGATCGGCGCATAATAAGCCACTAATCCAAACGTTAACAATGGGATCGCCACAAACAAACCAAAATTCTTAGACAAAGCATCAGAGGCAACCCCAATTATCTTCACTGTTAACTCAATTCTATGCCAATTAGCCACAAAAATCCACACAATTATCCCAATAATCAAGAACACGAAAACCAAAACCAAAATTCTATAAACTAGAGGGAACGACGTAGAACAAGAAGAACTAACAGTACAAGCAACAAACCAGTACACGTTAAAAAAGATAGGAATGACAACAAAGAAAGGAATTGACGCATACACAATCTGCTTAGTGTAATGTTTAAGAAAAAGTAGCAAAAGAAAGCAAATGGGCGCACTCAAAATCAAAGTAACAACAAGGGTCCATATCAAAGACTTAAGAAAACCAGAACCTGATGAACTTAAAGCATAAAAATCAAATCTCGACTCGTAAAAACCATTAAAGGTTGAATCTTGTACACAAGAAGTAGAATTCAAGTCATATTTATAAGATGACAGATTAGAGTAATTGGGATTTTTGTGAAAAACAGTGAATATACCAAACCCAAAAGTACAAAGAACAACAAGAACAAAAAGGACTAGGAAAGGAAGGTCTTTGAAAGGTCTAGGACCATAATTGTAAGAGATCTGGAGGTACTGGGTCGGGTCAGATTCGGGCTGGTCAGGTTGGTTTGGCTCTTCGATTGAAGGAGGTTTGAAGAGCAGAGGTTGTGATGGTGAAGAGGAATCATAGAGTGAAGTGGATTTGTTGGCTTCTTCAGTGCTACCCATTAGAGCAAGTGAGAGAGAGGAGATAGTGGTGGTGGTGGTGGACCTGGTGGTGTTATTGGACGGTGGTTAAGGTGGTGGTGGTGATAGGGAAGAGGGCATACTTCTTTCTGGGTTTGATTGTCGTTGACTATCCGTTTGTGTTGTATATGGCCCTGGTTGGATTTTGTATCTCTACCGTCTGTGACTCTGGATGACGACTTTGTGGAGGTAAGGGATTAAGCTACGGTGAACAGTTCGTTATTTTTTACCGTCCATTTTTGGCAACCATGATGCGTCTTGAAGAGAAAAAATGGAAGTAATTCTTGGTCAAACAATTGCTCACAAAACGCAAGTACTGTGTAAAGTCCTGTTTTTGTGTGAAAATCACTTAAATGTTATCCTTACGGATTGGCTTATATGGTAGATGGATTATTTGTCCATGTTATTTTTCTGCTTCAAATCCGAAGAAACGTTAAAGAGAGAGAGAGATTTGCGAAAAACAAAAAATTGCCATCGGCTAAAATCCGGAAAAATTTTATTCTCTATAGGAAAAGGGCTGATACCGAAATGCCCTTAACTGTTATGTGTGTGTATACATATATATATTGTAAACATCACATGTAGTCATATACAAACATTAAATTCGAAAGTAACAGCAGAATCCATGACATCTTTCATAAAAAAACATAAGTTTTGTCATGTCTACTTGTCAGTCCTTGTGATTATTTATGTTCAAGGTAAACCTTCCATGTGAAGGAGAAATATATTTGCTGTGTCATGATATATATAAAAATTTCACCGTCTAATTTTCTTTGTCTGCATACCCCAAAGCTTATGTAGCTGATAAGAACAATTTCCACATTTCGAAAATGAAATACCAGGTTTCTGTTTTCCTTTATTCATCTTATCGGGATTTAATCATTCAAATAAGCATCAGTAAGATCATAAGGAAATAAATCTTGAAGAAGTCACCAGTACACAAGAACAAATTCTACGATTGCAAAATGGTAATTAGAATGAATAGAAATGGAAGTGAATTTGATAAGTTGGAAGTAAAAAGGAGATGAGATGAGATCTATAGTTGCTAAACAAATGACATGTTTCTATTAATAACAGTGATAGAATACAGCAATGAAATATATCCAGGAAAAAGCACAAGACTTTCGATCTAAAACATGAGAAGTGAGAACTCAATATACATGTAACTAAAAAATTATGTAATCACAAACTAGCAAACTCAAGAGTAAAAAAACTTGCTGGTGTTAATGGAGCTTCATCTTTCCTCATCCCACTTGTCCTTAGGTATCTCTCCCGAGTCAGCAATAACTACTTTCTTTCTGGGTTTTCCACTGTAGGTTCCTGCTCCCCCTTCAATTGCATAAACAGTATCCATGCCTTGGATAACCTTTCCAAAAACAACATGCTCTCCATCCAACCTATATAAATTGACATGTGTATCCAGAGATCAGAACAGGTCTAGTATAGATTTAGTCTCATGCATCACCATCACGCAAAATTCCTGCATAATTATTTTCTCAATGGCAAATCCTCAGAAAACTAACTAAACCAGATTGATACAACTGCATTAGCGTTGGAAGCAACTAAATTCAGAGACATATTTACTGTGGGTGGTGAAGAGAACTTATCCTATAACTTGAAATGCTTCACAAATAGATTGTCCAAAATGGTTAAGAAATGTTCAGACAAAGGTCTTGATACGTTGCCAGAAATCAGTGATTTTGACCAGGCCAGCTGTTCCTTACATTATCTATATTTCTCGATAACTTACCAGCTAGCCTTGATGGTGGTGATGAAAAACTGAGAGCCGTTGGAATTTGGTCCCGAATTCACCATGGAAACAACTCCTAAAGAAAAAGAACAAACGAAGTGAGAAATTATGATTGTAAAGAGCAGCCTTCAAACTCAAGAATGACTTGCAGCTTCAACTAATTATTTTCATGCCTGGCAGCCATATAAATCAATCAGAAATCAGCATAATGATATCAATTGAGTCACCTGCATGTGAATGTTTTATCTTAAAATTTTCATCAGGAAAGATACTGCCATATATAGAATCGCTTCCCCTCCCATCACCGTAAACGATGTCACCACCTTGAATCATGAACCCAGATATTATGCGATGAAAAGGTGTTCCCTTATAATGGAGGGGTTTCCCACTTGCACCCTTACCCTTTCCCCCTGCTAGGGAATAGAGGAAACTATATTAAGACATAAAATTATAGAAATGGCTTCCATCACTGACAGTGGAAGCAAAAGGATTCATAGCATGTGAAATTAATAAAAAAAATGATGACAGGAAAATACCTTTGCATAAAGCCCTGAAATTTTCTGGAAAAGAAGAAAAAAATCAGTTAGCTGAAAAGCTTTTGCAATGGGTTTGATAAATAAAGGTCAGTTTCAAAGGCAAAACTTGGTTTTCCAAATAAATCTCTTCCTTTCAGTTTAAGTTGCTGGTTAAAGCTAGCACAAGAGTACACCTTGAATGATCTAGACTATGTCTAAATTTGTACTTGTCTGAACTGGTTCAAGGGTAAACTCAGCTCCAGCAAATACTTATTTGAAAAGTGAATGGAGAATTTCAGACAACAATCACCGAACAATCAAAATTGAGATCAATGCTAGAAAAAGATAATCTTGAATTAAGATTACTTAATTCAGAATCCCAAGCACATAAAGAACAAGAGGAAACAAAGGGAAATATAATCAATCAGACAATAGCGAGTAGAAGCTAAAGTGCCTCTCGAAAAGCATACACTGCCTGGATGATCTTATATACATGAACAAGAACAAAGAGCTGTTAACTAAGTTGTCCAAAGCTTTAAAATGAAGCAAATGCAACTATGACATTGATTTTTCCATTTTTCAAGCAAGCAAGAAAAGGAGATGTGGAGACTGAAGGAAGTTTCACTACAAGTTTAAAAGCTTAGATAAACTGTTTAACCATCTAAAATATAAATGTACTAAAACTAATATAATTCATCATGCAAATGCTGATTATCTCCTGAATTCTGGAATGCAAATTGAAGGTAGATTGTCTATCATATGCACAGTATATAAAAAATATACCAACAGTTTTTGGCACGACCTCGCCATATAATCCAATAACAATTCTACCTGAAAAAATCCAGACATGTCATCAAAATTAATAAGAGATGAAAAGGAGAACAAAATTACAGGACATCAATCTGATACATAACAACCAACGGAATCAGTGTAATTTAGAAAATTGCTTTTCTTTCTTATTCTTCTTAAAGAAAAGGAGGAAATTATGCAAGATGTTACTTCTTATTGCATGTTCTTCAATAGTACAGATAAAAGAGCTGTACCCTGACGTTGCTCGTCGATATCGATATCCAAGTATACTCTATGTGTTATCTCATACTCCTGTTCCTCTACCTTCACTTCATCCTAAGCGACAAATTAAAACAAGTAACTTAGCACTTCTTAACACAAAACAAGAAGCGATGCAGCATTGTTGAAGCTGAAAGATAAACAAATCAACCAGCATGAACCATTTTTAGCATGACAAGTAACTAAGAAGGTCGATTCAGTTTGTCATCATAGCAGCTAATTGGAGACTATGGATCATTTATAAAGATTCACAAAATACACTGACAAACGTCGCCTAATCTATCAATTTAAGTAAACGCTTAGCCACAGGAAACAGTAGGCTCAAACAAGAAGCTAACGTCTGGAAACCTTGCAGAACCACAATAACACAACAACTACTGCCTGGTTATAGTTCACCTATCTATCAAACTACAATTCACAGGCAAAACATTCAAAACTACAACTTTAGATCAGGCAATGCTGCATCCTGCTAATTACCAAAGTTCACTCTTTTATCAAAAACTAATTCACTCAAATTTCAATGAATTCACAATAACCACTAACAAAACAATAAAAACTAACCTCAAAAACAAAACCTAAATCATAACATCCCAAATCAAGTAAAACCCACAAGTCTGGATCCAAATTATTCTAAGAAAAACAAAACTTAAGCAAAAAGAACAAAACGTAACAAAGAAATGTACCTTTCTAGGATTGGTAAAAGCAAAGATGAGAAAAACAGCCAAGACAATGAAGAGAAGGAGGCACTTAGGTTGAATCACACAAGCTGGAAAATCTCTAACCATTGTTTTGATTTTGCTTAACTTCTCATTGATTTACTTGATTCTCCTTCATCGGTTACAAAAACTTTCAATCTTTTCTCTACAAAATTATAAAAGATCACACCTTGATTGCTTGAGAGGGATTGCTTCGGCCTTCGGGTATAGAAGCGGAAGAGTGTCCCAAAAAATTTAAGTAGTGGTTGCTAAGAACTGATATTTTTTATGATTTTTTCCTTTGCAATAAGTTGTAACAACGACATGTCGTGTCCCTAGAACAACGTTATTGGTTCTCCACTTCTTCCAGGTCGGCAATTGCCATGTGGTCCAGATTAAGGTCAAGACTGCCAGGCTGGCAATGTCATTTAGCAGGCCACTTAAGCCCAATAAGAATGACAACAAAAAGCTATGTCGAAAGTTTGGGCTGTAGATTGCTTGTTTGAGTTGGGTTTCTGTATGTTTAATTGGGCCTAGAAAAGATATGCTGAAAGATGTGGGCTGTAGATTGCTTGTTGAGTTGGGTTTCGTATGTTTTAATTGGGCCTACTCGCATGTTTTGCTTACTTTTGTTTTTAGCAAATGGTTCTCGTCACATCTATATATGTTGAGACTATAGTTTAGGATATCTGTATAGTGATTAATTTATCGGATCAAATGGTTTTAGACAGAAACTATTTTTTTTACCGCAATATACTATAGTTAGAATAAAACATATAAAATTATTTTATTTTAATTTTATATATATATAAAAACTGAATGAAAATTCATTTAATTTTTTAATTTTTTAATCAAAATTTTGAATTTGACTGATTATTTTTTATATTTTTCATAAATTTTTAAAAAATTATTTATTTATCTCTATCCACAAAATAAAAAATTTATAATAGTATAAAAAATGTTAAAATCAGTGAATTTTTAGCTAAAAACTTATTTTGCAAATTTTTTTTCTAAATATTGTTTTACTTAAAAAAACAAAGAAAAAAAGAAAGGACCAAAGTGATTAAAATGAAACAAAAAAGAAGAATCAAAATGAACAAAAAATATTTATAGACTAAAAAAAATGCTTAAAAAAGAATTAAAATGTAATATTACAAAAAATTTCATAATAAATGTTTTTAAAATATTTAAAAAATATAAAAATGCAACTACATTGTAAAATGAATAGCGCATCTAAGCTTTAATGAATAGTACGAATGAATGCTGGTTGAACAAGTATTTCAAATAATATAATGAATAATGACTGATCATTTTATTTTAGTTTTTTTGTTAATAAGAGGTGAAAAATACACACTTAAGTTCTTGGATAAATTTTAAAAATATCTTATTTTTTAAAAATTATTAAAATATTAAATTCTGGTGCTGTCATATAATATAAGTGAATGATTTTTTTAATTGATAATATCAGTTAAAAAATGATAAATCTAAGTGATTTTACTATAATTAATGATGAAATAAAATTAATTACACAAGTACTTTTAACAAACACAAAGTTTATAACAAAACTAATAAAACTTTAATATCAATAAAATTCTTTTATGATATGAATTAATCACTATATGTGTATATACTTATTACTCGTTTTCGTTTTAATAACAGACATGTTTCTTCTTATTTATTTATTTTTCTTATAAATTTTATTCAATACTCAATTTATTTAAAAAAAAAAATCATATCCTATAGAATTTTATTTTTAAGTTAAATTCATATATATAATTTTTACTGCATGAGTTAAAATTTTTAACGTTACCTTTACAACGCGTCCGTGAACCAATCCTTTGTTGGCTCGAGTTAGCTATTGTGATATATCCAAAAGGTGGAGAAGGGACCGTACCATCGTATGACGTATCACTTAAATTTCATTACCTTATATGTGCATCTTTACAAAACTACAACTCGTCACTCGAAAAGAAAATCTAAATAAAAATAGGATGGAAGGACCAAATTTTTTCGAAATTTTAATTTATTTGATAATTAGTTTCTGAATTTTCAATTTATATTTTATTTTTTTTTAAAAAAAACAAGATTTAGTTCAATTAATGAGTTTCAACTATCATCTCTTTTTTGTTTTTCTAAAAATGTTAATTTTTGATATTTTGATATGAAATTTTACATATATGTTGAAAAAATTCAGTCTATTTTATAATTTTTAACTATTACCTCTTTTCTTTAAAAATTTTAATTTTTAATATTTTGATATAAAATTTTGCATGCGTGTTGAAAAAAATTCAATCCATTTTTGTTAAAAAAAATCTAAATAAAAAATTAAAATAATTTGAAATAATCCCAATTTTTTTGAAACGGTTTTGATAAAACTAACTGAATAATTTTCATTCTATAAATATTTATGTAATTGTTATTTGTTTAGAATAAATGATTAAAAAAAAAACTGAATGTTTGACTAAATCTTTAAAAAAAAAAAAATAGAAACACAAATTAAAAATTGAACAACTGAGTTTCAAATAAACTAAAGTTCAGAAGTTCAAAAGATTTGACCATTTTAGCTATTAAAACAAGTTCCAAGATGCACGAAGAAAAAGTCCAGAGAATTTGCTTCCGTGAGGCATCGTATTTTCAAAGATGCGACTAAGCTGTTATTTCAAGTTTATAAATAAAGACCTCTCTTACTACACAAGGCATCGTATTTTCTCTTTTTGTCCTTTTTCTTATTCTTTTAGAGTGTTTAGCAGCTTAGTTGCATTCTAAAGTATCCTCGTTGCATGGAACAGATAAACATATTAAAGACAATACCCTCTAACCCAATCATCTCTTGAATAGTAATGGTGTTTTAGGAGAGACCGGACCCTTGTATTTTTTGCTTCTTTTGTTTTGTTTTGTTCACCACCCAACCCCAACCCCCCCCCCCCCCCCCCCCCCCCCCAAAACACCAAAAAAAAAAAAAAAATTGCTCTCTTTATATGGATAAGTGTACTTTCAAGATTGTAACAATTAAATGAAATTATGACTGGAAAATATTAATAAGATATCATTTAAGTGATAAAGTGACAAATCTGTGATGACATGGCACTAATGACATGAAAAAACAATTTTAAAGGAAAATTTTCCTTCATTTATTTATTTTTTACTTTCTCAAAAAATATAAAATGTACTTTTAATAATGTAAGAAATTAATTAAAATTATTTTCTATGTACATTCTCATATTTGATCAATGTCATAATTTTTTTTTATAAATCTTATATAAAATATTTCTATTTTGTAATTAATAAAGATAACGTTTTTCATGGTAAATTTAATTTGAATAAAATAAAAGTGATTTTTTTAGTTAAATTACCACAAATACAAAAAAAAAAAAAAAAACAAAAATTAAGATGACTATTATAAATTGTGGTTTGAATTTTTTATTGAAAATGAAAATTAATTTTCCATCTATTTTTTTATACATACTTTTGAAAAAAATATTTATCAAATGCAATTAAAAATAACCTAATCTAATAACTTAACAGTTATCTTCTTCTCTAACCTAAAAAGAAAAAGAAAATATAATTGTATTTTATATTTTTTGAAAAAAAAGTGAAAATAAAAAAGAAGAAGATATGTCGGATAGTTTTTCTCCAAAGCTGTTTTTCCATGTCAACGGTGCCACATCACTATTTTTTCGCATCATCTCTTAATATCTATGTCATAATTGTTACCCTATCCCTTGAACAACACACACTCAATATTCTCATGTCATATACGCTAGTTTTTTAAATTTCACTTGATTGGTATAATTTTGAGAGTACATATATCTATTTAAAAAATAAATAAATAAATTTTACTATATTCGATTGAAATTTTTTCAAAATAATCACATTTATTGTGTTAATAATGATAAAAATATTTTCAAATCAGATTTGTTGCATTAAGACTAAGCCTATTTTATATGAATTTTTACATAGTTTACCCACTCCAGAATTGAAAAACACACACAGTCTGTATACATAACCAAAATTTATGATAAAGCAGCTACCAACAGCTACCCAGTGATTAGAGATTTTTAGGTTTTCAGATTACCAGTTCAGTCTATAAGATTACAGATCTATTGACGAAGACATCAACCGGCAGACAGATCGAAGAAAGTTACTTGACAAATGCCGTTTTGACGTGGTACTTCCAGTTCGAGTTGGGGTTATTAATTATTTGAAAGCAGAGACAAGGTCCAAAAATTAGGTCCACACCTTCATATGGTGCCAAATTCAAACAGCCTGTCATGGTTAATTTTTTCAAAAAACATCATAAGTCATGTGTAATAGTTTTATTAAAATCAAGTCGCAATACTCTCCATGCCTTCGTTTCCACCATCTACTGCTTCTACTTTCCATCTGAAAAGAAAACTGTCATTTTTTCAGAATACATGTCCTGTTTTCATCTTGTTTAAATTTAACTATAAACTGAACATAATTTCTCTGAAAAAACCCTTCTTGTGGACAAAATTCCCGAGTTAGATTGCACAAACCACATTCCTATACATGACAATCAAAGATGGTGATGCTTCTCTTGGACTTGAGTAAGAACCAAGACCAAGGTTCCTTACCATTAGAAAACAGATACCATATGGCTCGACTTGACCAAGACAAGTTTGTCTTTATGCTTATAAAGTTAGGAAGGCCCGCACCTACTCTATTCGCATCATGTTAAGATGGTTCTTGATAAGAAAGGTCATTAATCCGATAATAAATAGATTTTGCAACTCCTCAGAGATCTATTTCAAATTATTTTTTCTATAGATTTTTCTTTTGAGATTAGTTGAAAATGTAGAAATGCTGACCACAAATCTGGTGGAAAATATCATGTATCGTTTTAGATTCCAAAGAATTCTCAATGCACAAGGAATCATGTGGTTTTTGGCTGTCGAAGCACATGGCTTGCTCCCTAAGTTCCCATCTTTTTTTAATGGAGACCAGAAATTACAAGTCAAACCGACCAGCAATGAAAGAAAAGAAATGGCTGTGACCAACAAAGAAAATTTTAAACGGAAAACCTCTACGGCTCTTCCAAAATGTGAAATACCGTGATGAATAAAACTGAA